CACAGCTGTTCCATCCTCAACAACCAATGTTGCACCAACCACAACCATATCTTTTCCATCCACAACCAACGCTGCTACCACAGCAGCTCCAACCACAACCCCAGCATCTTCTACATCTGCCAAAACTGCTCCAAGCACATCCACAGCTGTTCCCACTACAACTACAGCTGTTCTAACCACAAGCACAGCTGTTCTCACAACAACCACAGGAGCTCCATCCACAAACACAGCTGCTGCCACAACAACCACATCTGTTCCAACCACAACAAAAGCAGCTTTTCCAATAACAACCACAGCTGCTCCCACAACTACCACAGGAGCTCCATCCACAACCACAGCTGCTCCAACCACAATCACAGCTGCTGCCACAACAACCACTGCTCCTCCAACCACAACCATAGCTTCTCCAACCTCAACCGCAGCTGCTGCCACAACAACCAAAGCTGCACCAATCACAACAACAGCAGCTTTTCCAAAAACAACCACAGCTGCTGCAACAACAACCACTGCTGCACCAACCACATCTGCTCCAACCACAACCACAGCTGCTCCAACTACAATAACAGCTTTTCAAACCACAACTGCTCCCACAACATCCACAGCTGCTCTGTCCACAACCACAGAAGCTCCAACCACAACCACTGCTGCTACAACCACAACCCCAGCATCTGCTACAACAGCCAAAGCTGCTCCAAGCACAACTACAGCTGCTCCTACTACAACAGCAGCTGTTCAAACCACAACCACAGCTGCTCCCACAACAACAATAGGAGCTCCATCTACAACCACAGCTGCAACAACTACAACCACAACTGCTCTTTACTCAACCTCAGCTGCTCCAACCAAAACCACTACTGCTCCAACAACAACTGCAGCTGCTGCCACAACAAACACAGCTGCTGCGACAACAACCACTGCTGCACTAACCAAAAACACAGCTGCTCTCACAACAACCACAGCTGTAGCAACATCAAGCACTGCTGCTCCAACGACAAACACACATGCTCCAACCACAACATCAGCTGTTCCAATCACAACCACTGCTAATGTCCTAACAACCACAGCTCCTCCAACGACAACCATAGCTGTGCCATCCACAACCACAGCTGCTACCACAACAACCACAGCCGTTCCAACCACAACCACAGCTGTTCCATCCACAACAACAACTGCTGCACCAACCACA